CTTGGCTACCTCATCGATGGGCGCGTGGGTGACCGACTCAGCGGCCTCCCGGGGTGGCAGGCGCTTGCCCGCGGGGTAAGCCCTGCGGGGGCTCCCCTCGGCTCCTGGTTCGGCACCTGCGCCTCGAGCATCTCCTGGTGCCTTCAGGGCCTTGTGCGTGAGTCGCCAGAGTGTCCGGCTGTGCTGCCGCTCCAGGTGTGGCAAGATGGTCTTCCTGAACCAGGCGTCCTCCAGGTCGAGCTTGAAACAAGTCGGCATGCGCAGGAGAGGGTTGCCGTCACTGTCTGGCGTGAGGGCCATGAACTCGATCTGCTCCTTGCGTAGCCACTCCTTGCCTGATATCCGTAGGAGCTGGCGGTACACGTCCTTGAGATCCTCGCGCCAGCGCCAGTTGAGCTCCTCGAACCAGCCGTAGATGCGCTCGCGGGGAAAGACGTCGGAGTCCTCCTCGGCCAGCTTCTCCAGCTTCTCGATGGCGTCGGCTCGTTCCTGGTAGTGCTCCCAACCGTAGATCAGCGCGAAGCATCTGGCGTGGTTCTGCGCCTGCTTCACCCACTGGGCCAACGTAGCGGGAGCCCGGGGGCGGGCCTCGAGGCGGTCGTCCTGGGGGACTACGTGGTTGTCGTGCTCCTCCTGGGAGTGCTTAGGGAAGTCCGCCACGCTCAAGTAGTGTGGTAGAAGTGAGTGCTGGTCCCGGGCGCCGAAGTACAGGCCCGCGAGTCCGAGGGCGAGGCGTGATGTGACACAGGTGGGCCAACCGAGGCCCGAGAGCTCGCCCTTCGAGGTGACGAAGGCCTCCTTGATGGCATGGTAGAGGGACGTGCCTGTGTAGGAGGGGCAGACCTGGACGTTGAAGCGGTTGCAGGCCCGCGCGAGGAAGACGAGGGCCGTCTCCTCTCGTCCTAAGCCCTGCGGCGTGCCCTTGGAGCTCTTGGACTCACTGTTGTGCTTGACGAGGCTCTCGATGCCGAGTCCGATGTCCTTGAGGGCGGCTGCCATCTCGCTGTCGCCGGTGGGGCCGATCTCCCCTCCGACCCCAGCGCGTCGTTCGCCCGGGGGGGCGTGCCGCGTCCCGTCGGCCAGGATGGGGCCCACCAGGTTGTGGTAGAGGTCGGTCCTGCCACGCCCGACCAGGGAGGGCAGCGGCGCAGAGGCGGCGGGGGCGCCAGGCGGCAGCAGGGGCCGTGGGGCGGCAGGGCTCGTCGCAGGCGCGGGGCCTACGCCCCAGGCGGGGGCGCCACCACCGAAGGGGTGGGCGATGCTCGCTGCGAGGCCCGGGGGGGCCTGCGGTGCGAGCGGAGCCAAGGTGGGGCGCACCTCTTCCTGGTAGCCGTCGCGCAGTCGGCGGAGCTGGCTGCGCCACTCGCCCTCGAGCGTGCGCAGACCGCGCCCCCCATCTCGTTCGTACTCCTCAGCACCTCGCAGCAGCACCTTCAGCACGTCCTGGGTCTGGTCCCAGTCGTACCGGTTGAGGAGCCTCTCCTGGGCGCCTGCGTCTCCCTCTTCGGGGTGGAGCTCGCGGTCGCGGAGGTACTCCCGCAGGCACTCCATCCCGCTCGGCGGAGAGGGCACCGCGCTGGTGGGGGCCCCGTCGACGCCGTCGAGGCGGGAGACGAGCTCGGCGATGGAGAGCCGGGGGTTCGACTGGCTCCCGCCCCCCCGAGGGGCCTCACCGTGAGGGGGCTGCGGGGGACGGGGCGAGGGGGGCCCCGGAGCTGCTCCCTCGTGCTGAGGCGGCGGCGGCTGGGGCGGCGTGCCCTGGGGCCCAGCGTGGGCCAAGGTGGTGGAAAGGGCTGCGTCGCGTGCCTCCTGGAGGGCCTGCGCCTCCCGCCGCTTCTCCTGCTGGCTCTCGTCGTAGTGCGGCCTGCACAGCATGATGCCGTCGCGCCGTGCGTAGCCCAGGGAGTTGCACTTGGCCTTGGCGCAGCCTTGCGCACGCCGCATCCCCTGGCACAAAGCAGCGTGGTGGGCACAGAGAGGGGCCTGCTCCTGCTGCGTCCCGGCGGTCAGGGGGCTGACGCGGGCGTCGTCAGTGAGGAGCGTGGTGTTCTCCTCGAGCGCCTTGTCGCCACACTGCACCCGCGGGGCCAGCAGCGTGACCCGGCCCGTCTCGGCGTGCCGCCAGCCCACCCGATGGGCCATGCAGGGGATGCCCTCGTCCTCGGTGTCCGACTCGTCGCGCGGCTTGGGGCCCTCCTCCGCGGGCATCGTGGGCTTGCGCCTGCGGCGCGGGCAGCAGCAGCAGGGGAGGCAGCAGAGGCCGCCGGCGCCTCGGACGAGGCCCCAGGCGCAGCCTGGGATCCCGCGGATGCCCCGCGAGGTGCGGACGCAGCACCAGCCGAGCGGGGTGTGCTCGGCGAGGTCGTCGAGGTCGACCACCGCGTCGGCCGCGACCACCGCGTAGGACTGCAGGTGGGCCTTCAACGGTTCGCACTCCTGGCAGGGGCCCACCTTGCGGCAGAGGTGGAGCCTCTTGGTGGCCGCCCTCTCCAGGTCCTTCCTCAGTCGCCGTGAGGTGGCCCCGTAGACGGTGTCGTAGTCGATGATCAGGCCGTGGGCGTTCGTCCGCGCGTCGCTCCACTTGAGCGGGACGCGCGCCACCTGGCCGTCCACGGAGAAGACCACGTGGCGGGGGTTGCCCGCGCGGAGGGCGGTCTTCAGGTCACGGTAGAAGTTCGTCGGAGGCTCCTTCTCCAGACCCGGGCCGTAGAGCTGAACCTGCTGCGGGTCGCGGTTGATCTGGTCGGCCGTCGTCACGGGTATAGTACGCTGGCCCTTGCGGCAGCACACGCCCCTGAAGAAACCGGCCACTGCACGGAGTGGGACGCATGCCCGCTGGATGAGCTCCATCAGCCACACACACATGGTCAAGCACAAAAGGACGAGCACCACACCGAAAGCAATCCGCCCGCCCAAGATGAAGGTGTCCCAGCTTGGCCCGAAGAGGAAACGGCCTGCTCGCCTGACGGGGTCGCTGAAGAATCCTCCTTCGTCCAGTGGGGCCTCCACGACGACAAAGAAGGAGGCCACGAAGCGGTACCCGAGGATGAAGACGCCGGGGAACTCATCGTTGCCGTGCTCGTCGTCTCCGTCCCCGTCGCCGATGTTGTCCGTCGGGCCCGTGCCGTCGGGCGGGCCGACCGACCCGTTCGTCACGTTGCTCGAGTTAGCGCCGCAGGAGCTCTCGTTCGTCATGCTGAGGTTGGCCCTCTGCTTCCCGTCCGTCCCGCTGGCGTTGGCCTGCCTCGCCGACCTGCGACGCCGGTCATGTACGTAGTCCCAGAAGTCGTCCCAGAACTCCAGCGCCCCAGCCGGGGCCAGCACCAGCGCCGGCGGCAGCAGCGCCCGCGGCCGTCCGTGCGCCAGGAGGCCAGCCAGGGCCGGGACCAGTGCCATGGCCACCGGCATCGGCATGGGGCGCCACCGTGCGCCCGTGGCGGGGCCCCACGTCGGGGGGGGCCCAGGCTCGCGCGTCGGGGCGAGCCCGCTGTGGGAGCCACCCTTGAGCCCCCCACTCAAAAGAGCAGGGGAAAATGGCTGAGGTTTCCCCCAACACTCCCAAGAACCTACGGTTTCGAAACGAGTTTCAAACCTACACGTCTGCGACACCTCGACGGGCGGGGCGGGCCATCGGGACCCCCTCGGAGACCACCGGGCGATCCGGGGTCGACGCCTCCCCCCATGGAGCCCATCCCCCCCCCTCACGTTGCCCATCCCCCCCATCCCCCCCCCATGGAGCCCATCCCCCCCCCATGGAGCCCATCCCCCCCCCATGGAGCCCATCCCCCCATGGAGCCCATCCCCCCCCCCCCCCATGGAGCCCATCCCCCCCCCCCCCCTCACGTTGCCCCTCGGTTCTCGGGTCATGGCTCGGCCCTCGGGCGGCCGCCCCCGGGGCGTTCTGGGCACCCCAGGAAGGCTCCCGGCGAGGCGCAGCCGCTGGAGGGCGTCCCGAGGCCGGAGGACTGCACGGAACCGACCGAGCACGTCCGCGAGCCGCCGAGGACCGCAGAGAACCCGACCCGACCCCCTGAGCGTATCCCCCCGGACCCAGACCCCCTCGAGTAATGAAAAAATCATGACGGGAGGTTTTTCGCCATTTTCGGCCTCTGGGGGCCCTCACCGGGCCTCGGGAGCGTCAAAAAACGACTCAGGATGACAAGCCGGCCCCGGGGAAGGGGTCCAGACCTCTGGGGGTCGACGTCGTGAAAAAATCACGACGTCGGGGGTCTGGGGACGTTGCCCCTGACCGAGTCTCGCCCTCGACTCCGAAGGTCGAATTCTCGGACGATCCCCTCAGCTCTTGGAAGCTTCCTTGCCTCGGGACGCGCTCTGGCGGCTGCGCCTCGCCCCAGAGCGTCCCTTAGTACAGGGCCCTTTTCGCACGATTCTTTTGCCGCGAGCTCTCGGGTGCTGTCGTCGGTTCCTGAAGCAAGTCCTGCCTCGGGACGCGCTCTGGTGGCTGCGCCTCGCCGAGAGGGTCCTGGGGGTGCCCCATCGTTCCAAACGGCCAGCGGCCGCCAGGAAGCCGAGCTGTGACCCGAAAGCTGAACGACGAAGGTCGATTTTGGGGAGGGGAGGGGGGGGGGAGATTTGCGGACGCCCTCGCCCCTCGTCGGGACTTTCTGGATGCCTCCAGAAGCCTCCAGGGGACCTCCGGTGACCCCGAGCGGACTCCAGGGGCCAGACTCCCCGGGGACTCCGACGTCGCGACCTCCTCACAGCGTGGACCTCTGGAAATCTGGACCCCTTCCCCTAGGAGGAGGAGGAGGAGGAGGAGGAGGAGGAGGAGGAGGAGGAGGAGGAGGGCGGAGGAGGAGGAGGAGGAGGAGGAGGAGGAGGAGGAGGAGGAGGACAGGAGGAGGAGGAGGAGGAGGAGGAGGACCAGCTCTTCACCCCAGGTCGCTTCTTGACGGTCCCGGTGCCAGGTAAGGGCCCCTGCGGCCCGACCGCGCGAGGGGGGGGGGGCCCTGGGCGGCAGCAAAGCTTACCACGCTCACCACGCTGCTCCCGTCGCCGCGCAGCATCAAATCCGCCCCGTGCTCCGCGAGCACCCGGAGGCACTCCTTGCGCCCCCCCTCGGCCGCCATCATCGCGACGGACAGGCCGTCCTCCGCCTTCAGGTTCGGGTCCGCCCCCCGCCGGATCAGGAGCCTGACGCACCTCTCGTGGCCGTGCAGGGCCGCCTCTGGAGGACGAAAAGTGGCGGCGTGTACAACGGGGTGGCGCGAGGGGGGAGGCCTTCCAAGGAGGCGGAAAGAGCCTCTTAGAAGGTAAGGGGCTCCTCACAAGGGCCCAGAGGCGTCTAGGGAGCCCTCTTAAAAGCCACGGGCCTCTAAGAAGCCTTCCAACAAGGCTTCTTGGAAGCCGCCTGGGCCCCTCAGGGAAGGCCCGTGTCTTCTTAGAAGCCCCCTGCATTCTCAGAAGGCCTCCTCCCCGCGCCCCCCCCTCTCCGTGCCGCCGAGGAAAAACGGCATCGGAAGCGTAACCATTCGGAGGCCTGCGCGAATTCTTTGGATCGGCGCTGGAGCCCCCTATCCCTGGTGCGCACCAGCGCCGCCCGCGGGGTTCAGCGCCGATCCAGGAAATCCGCGCAGACCTCCGAAAGTCACATCTGCGTTTACACATACATACATACATACATACATACATACATACATACATACATACATACATACATACATGCATGCATGCATGCATGCATGCATGCATGCATGCATGCATGCATGCATGCATACGTACATACATGCATACATAGATAGATAGATAGATAGATAGATACATACATACATACATGTATACATACATGCATGCATGCATGCATGCATGCATACATACATACATACCTTGTGTATGCACCGCCATAAATATACATACGTACATACATACATGCATGCATGCATACATACATACATACATGCATGCATACATACATACAGACAGACATACATACATACAGAATTACTTACATGCGTACAGACATGCGTGCATACATACATGTATACATACATACGAACATACATACATACATACATGCATGCATGCATGCATGCATACATACATACATACATACATACATACATACATACATACATACATACATACATACATACACGCATGCAATATATATATATATATATACATACATACATACATACATACATACATACATACATACATACATGCATGCATGCATGCATGCATACCTACATGCATGCATATATACATACATACATACATACATACATACATGCATACATACATACATACATACATACATACATACATATATATATATACATGCACATACATGCATACATGCATACATACATACATACATGCACGCACGCATACATACATACATACCTGCATACATGCATGCGTGTCTATAATCATACATACATACAGACATGCATATATGCAAACATGCAAACCTACATACAAGCATACATACAAACATACACACATACATGCATGCATACATACATACATGCATGTACGCATACATACATACTAGAACCACGCGCGCTACGCGCGCTTAGGTTCTAGTCACAGATGAACCACGGGTGCCGCTGTCGGGCGCGCTGGCGGGGTTTGCCCAGGGGGGAGGGAGGAGCACGAAACCTCAGGAAAATCATGGCGTACGGTACAGCCACACCCTGTGCGCTCTAACGGGGCTACCTCGGGTGCGGTGGGAGGAGCAAAACAAAACAGGGACTGTATATGGTATAGCAACACCCCTCTCGCTCTGCCGGGGCCGCCCTTGAGGGGTGGGAGGGGCAAAGCAACTTGTGAAATGATAGGGTATAGCGATGCCCCGCTTGCTCTGGCGAGGCCTGCCTGGCGCTCTGGCGGGGCCGTCCCAGGAGAGGAGGGAGGAGCACGAAAGCTGAGGGGTGAGGGGAGGAAGTGGAGAGAGGAGGGAATGGAGACAAGGGGAGGGGGCGAAAGGGAAGGAAGGACGGAGGGGGGAGGCCCGGGCCATCTGGGCCGTCTTCGAGCGCCCTGGGGCCTCCCTCTCCCGCTCTGTGGCCCATCTTGGGCCTGTCCTGGGGCCTCGTGGGCCGTCTGGGGCTCCTCGTGGGCAACTTGCAGGCTCTCTGGAGCCGTCTTGGGGCTCTTTGGGGGGCGTTGTCGGCGGTGTTTGGGCGGTCTTGGGGGCGTCTTCCGCCGTCTTCGAGCATTGGAAGCTCGAGAACGCGAGAAAGCGAAACACATAGAAACACAATGCAATTCAATGATTTGGGCCTCTTTGGGCTCTCTCGGGACGTCTCTCGGAGCTCTCTTGGGGCCTCTTGGAGGCCTCTTGAGCTGTGTTTGTCGTCTTGAGCTGTGTTTGTCGTCTTGAGCTCCTCTTGGGGCCTCTTGAGCTGTGTGTTTGTCGTCTCGTCTGTTGGGATCATCTGGGCTGTCCTGGAGCGCCTTGGGGCCTCCCGCTATCGCTCTGGGGCCAATCTTGTGCCTCTCCTGAGATTATCTTGGGCAGTCTTGGGCTGCTCTTGGGCAGTCTTCAGGCTCTCCAGGGCGTCTTGGGGCTCTTTTGGGGGCCTCTTCGGCGGTCTTGGGGCGATCTTCGGGGCGTCTTCGGTCATCTTGGAGCGTTGGAAGCTCGAGAACGCGAGAAAGCGAAAAACATTGAAGCAACAATCAGAAATCAATGATTTGGGCCTCTTTGGGCTCTCTCGGGGTTCTCTCGGAGCTCTCTTGGGGCCTCTTGGAGGCCTCTTGGGCTGTGTATTGGCCGTGTTGGGCCCATCTGGGGCCTCGTTGGGGCCATCTGGGCCGTCTTGGAGCGCCTTGGGGCCTCCCGCTCCCGCTGTGTGGCCCAGCTTGGGCCTGTCCTGGGGCTCTCTTGGGCTGACTGAGGCTCCTCCTGGGCAATGTTCGGGCTCTCTGGGGCTGTCTTGGAGCTCTTTGGGGGGCCTCTTCGGTTGTCTTGGGGCGAACTTGGGGGCGTCGTCGGCCGTCGTGGAGCGTCGGAAGGTCGAAAACGCGAGAAACCGAAAAACGCATAAAAACCATGAAAATCAATGATTTGGGCCTCTCTCGGGACGCCTCTCGGAGCTCTCTTGAAGCCTCTTGGAGGCCTCTTGGGCTGTGCATTTGCGGTCTGGAGCCCATGTTGGGGCACGTTGGGGCTATCTGGGCTGTCTTGGAGGGGCTTGTCGAAGTCCCCCAGAGGTTTCTGGGAACGTCTTGGAGCTCTCTGGGGCAGTCTGGGAGCGTCTAGAACCGTGCGCGCACGCTCCGCGCGCACTTGGGTGCCAAGGCGTTGTTAGCTGTGAGTGCTTTTCGGACTGGTTCATTCCATGCCTTGCCCCTTTGTCCTCTAACATTCCTCATACGTCCTTCCTCGTTAACCATCCAGTCTCTCTCGGTTGTCCTCGCTGTTCGTTTCTCGTTACATGGACGGCCCCTCTTGCTTGGGATTATGCGGGGCCTTCGAGCTGTTCAGGGCCGGCGTGGGGAGATATCGAATATGAAGTGGAATGACTTGGAGTGCAGGGGTCTCTTGGGGATCTTCCTGGTCGGGCTGCCTTGAAGGCCTTGGGGCACGCTTGGAGCCCTCTTGGGCTCTTCTTCGAAGCTGTGGGGCCGTCTAGAGCCTCGGGGCCATGTGAAGCTCTCCCGACGCCATCCGAAGGAGAAGAACGCGAGATTTGCTGAGTATGGAGAGATCTGAATGGCTTTTGCGTTTATGGCTCTCTGGGGTCGTTTTGGAGGGCCTTTTGGGAGCTCCACTGGGGCATCTTGTGGCCCCTGGGGGCCGCCTTGAAACATCTTGGAGCGTCTTAGGCCCCGAGGGGCCATCTTGGCGGCCAGCGGGCGTCCTCCTGAACCAGCTCGGAACCCTCTTCAGGATTGTTGGGGGAGGCGGTGCCGTCAACCCTCCGAAGCTTTTGACGCTTTTGACGCTTCCGACGCTCCTGGCGCTCTGGGCTCCAGGAGCTTCGCGACGCTCCTAACGCTTCTCACGCTCCTGGCGCTCCGGGCCCCAGGAGCTCCGATGCTCCTGACGCTCCTGACGCGTCCGACGCTCCTGACGCTCCTGACGCATCCGACGCTCCTGACGCTTCTGACGCTTCTGACGCTTATGACGCTTATGACGCTCTGGAGCTTCGGAAGCTTCAGGAGCTTCACGAGCTCCAGAAGCTTCAGGAGCTTCAGGAGCTCCACGAGCTCCAGAAGCTTCAGGAGCTTCAGGAGCTTCAGAAGCTTCGGGAGCTTCAGGAGCCTCGGGAGCCTCGGGAGCTACAGGAGCTTCAGACGGTTCAGGAGCTTCAGGAGCTTGCCTGGGAAGCTGCGCGCGCTCCCGCCCTGGAAGGCCCCCGGAGGCATTCCCACGGGGTCCCCAGAAGTCTCGACCCATTCCCCAGGACAGGCTTGACGTCCTGAGTCGATTTTTGACGCTCCCGAGCCCGGCGAGGGCCTCTGGAGGCCGAAAACGGCGAAAACCCTCCGTCTTGATGTTTCCAATGCACTGGATCTCTGGGTTGTACGCCAGGCGAAGACTCCCGCCCAGGGAGGCCCCGGGGCCCCCCTGCACCGTGCGAGGAGGCTGCCCGCGCCCCCGCCCGTGGAGGCCTCCGGAGGCCGTGCACCGTGCGAGAACTCCCGTGCCGGGAGGCTGCCCGCGATCGCGCCCCGGGAGGCTCCCGGAGGCCCTGCGCCGCGCGAGAGCGCCCGTGCCCAGAGGCCGCCCGCGACCGGGCTCCGCAGGCCCTGCACCAGGCGAAAACGCCTGTCCAGGGACGCCGCGCTCGCGCTCTCCCGCCCCAGGAGGCCCCCGGAGACGCTGCACCATGCGACGACATCCGCCCCGAGGCGGCTCACGCTCCCGCTCGGGGACACCCCTGGAGGTCCTACACCATGCGAAGGCTCTCGTCCTAGGAGGCTGTCCGCGATCGCGCCCCAGAAGCCCCGCACCGTGCGAAAACTCCTGCTCAGGGAGGCCGCCCACGCTCCCGCTCCGGGGATGCCCCGGAAGGCCCTGCAGCATGCGAACATTCGCGCCGAAGCCACCCACGCTCACGCCACGGCGACCCCATGGGCCCTGACACCACGCGACCGTCCGGGGAGTCTGCCCGGGAGGCCCCCGGAGACCCTATATACAGCACGCGAAAACCACGCTGACCGTCCGGAGGCTGCCCACGCCCCCGCCCGGGGACACCCCCGGAGGCCCGACACCGTGCGAAAACCCATGCCGAAACTGCCCGCGCTCGCGCCCCGCGACGCCACGCGAAAACTCCGCTGAAGCCGCCCACGCCATCGCCCCAGGAGGCTCCCAGAGGCCCTGCACCATGCGAAAATCTCCGTCCAGGGAGGCACTCACGTCCACTGAAAAGAAGCAACCAACGCTCCCGCCCCAGGAGGCCCACTGAGGCTCTGCACCGTGCGAAAAGCTGTCGCCTGGGGAGGCCCTACACCATGCGAGAACTTTTGTCTAGGGAGGCTGCTTACGTCCGCGCCCCGGGGAGCCTCCCTCCTCGTCCTCCTCCTCGTTCTCCTCCTCGTCCACCTCTTTGTCCTTCCCGTCCTCCTCCTATTCCTCCGCCTCCTCCTCCTCCTCCTCCTCCTCCTCCTCCTCCTTCTCGTCTTCCTCCTTGTCCTTCTTCTCCTCCTCCTTTTCCTCCTCCACGTTCCCCTGCAGTCCGATACTGAACTTGCTGCTCCTAGAGGCTTCGCCTGTGGCATAAGGCTGGGAGTTGAGAAAATATTGACGGTCTGAAATACGAAAACTAGCAATGACATACACATAATAACCCGGAGGTCCGCGAGGATTTCTCGGATCGGAGCTGGGGCCCCCTGGCGGGGCCTCCGGCGCCGCCCCTGGCGCGCTCCGCGCGCCAGGGAGGGGGGTCCAGCGCCGATCTGAGAAATCCGCGCGGACCTCCGAGTTTTCATGCTTACGTTATGTTCCGTGTCCCTATGACAGGCCTTGAGCAAGGCCTGCGGGTCTGAGAGGTTTCAAGTCTCGGGGGTCGGATCTCCCTCATCCCCGTTTTCTCCCTTTCTACCCTCTCGCCGCAATGTCCGCCGGACGGACTGCCGAAACCAAGCTGCCCCCGCGCGGGGTGGCCACTGGAGTCAGTCAGTCAAAGCCGCGCGTCAACAGGCACGTGAGCAATACGGCGCACTTACCGCGCCGAGCCAAATGAACGCACTGCTCTCTTCCAGTCTCGAACTCAGACTCAGACTCAGACGGAGGAGTGTCACCGCAGAAAATGTGCACTGAACACGCACACTGCTAAGAGAGAAACTCGCAGACAGACAGACAGACAGACAGACAGACAGACAGACAGACAGACAGACAGACAGACAGACAGACAGACAGACAGACAGACGGACAGACAGACATAATTATACACATACACACACGTACATGCTTCTGTATATAGATGCACACTGATATGCAAGCATATAGATATATACATATATATGTATATATATATATATATATGGAGTGTCTTCGTCATCGAGCCTCCATCAGGGCGGTGCGGCCCTGGGCGTCCTTCTGGTCCACGTAGGCATCCCCCTCGTCGACGAGCACCTTGATGCACTCGAAGTGGCCCTGCCTCGCCGCGAAGCTGACAGCACCGGTGCCCTCGAGGGTGTCAGTGACGAGGACGTCCGTCCCGCGCGCCAGCAGGAAGGACACCGCCTCCTGGTGGCCTGGGGAGGACGAGGACTTGCGCAAGCAGTAACGTTCGGAGGTCCGCGCAGATTTCTTGGGTCGGCGCTGGGCCCCCTGGCGGCGTCTCCAGCGCCGCCCCTGGCGCGCTCCGCGCGAGGGGGGGGTCCAGCGCCGACCCAAGAAATCCGCGCGAACGTTCACAAGCCGATGCGCACGTCTTTTGTCATGCGAGCGACGAAAACAAACTTGGTCTTGCACGAACAGGCGTCGCGACCCTGCGCCGCGGCATGTGCGGGCCGCCGGCGTGGCACATCGCGCGGCGAAGAGGGCGCTTACGGTCAACCTCACCCGGGCGCACGCCAATACGGATCACGCATCCGTCGATCTGGCGCGTGGGCGCCAGATCGACGGATCGGGGAAGGCACCCACCGAAGCATGAGGCCAGCGCCGCCCGACCTGGCACCAGGGCGCGCCGACTCCGCACGGCAACGGGACCCGTCGCGAAGCCACGCGCCTTGAGACGTGCGCGCGCTTCCCTCACGAGGAGGAGGAGGAGGAGGAGGAGGAGGCGGAGGAGGAGGAGGAGGCGGAGGAGACGGAGGAGGAGCAGCTTCCGCACGCATGCCCGCGCGGTCGATGCCGTTTCCTTCCGCCGCTCGTCTGCTCTTCCCCGGTGGCCGTTCTCGGCCGCGACCATCGCCGCCGTCATGCCCCGGCCGCTCGCCGCGTCGATGTCGGCGCCCTGGTCCACCAGCTGCCCGAGCACGTCCGCGCGGCCGATGCGCGCGGCGCGGAACCACGAGGAGCGCGTGTACGCCCGCTCCTGAGCAGCGCTTCTCGCTGGTGCCCGCTGGCACGACCCTGG